ACTGACCCTAAAACTATACTAACTAATCTAATTAACTAAACTAAATAAATATACTAAGTAATCTAACTAAACTAAATTAAACTAACTAAAAAACAAAATCAAACTAAACTAACCCTAACCCTAAAACAAACCCTAATCTACAACTAAAACTGACCCTAAAAAAAGACCCTAAAACTAAACTAACTAACTAATCTAATTAACTAAACTAACTAAATATACTAAGTAATCTAACTAAACTAAATTAAACTAACTAAAAAACTAAACCAAACTAAACTAACCCTAACCCTAAAACAAACCCTAATCTACAACTAAACTAACCCTAAAACTAAACTAACTAACTAATCTAATTAACTAAACTAACTAATAAAGTAACTAAAAAAAGAAAATCTAAATTAAAAAAAAAACTTACCTTCACAGCCGCGGCCAAGCAGATGGCGGCAGTAGTATCTTGGGCCGGGTGGGGAGGGGGGCACGGCGCCGGCACCTGTGAGGGGGAGAGAGAGCGCGCCTTGGGGCCTGATGTTTTAGCTCCTGTCGGCCTTCCGCTGGCCGAGAGGATTCTATCGGCCATCAGAAGGCCGACAGGGCCCCCCACTGTCTTGCATGTGGCCCTGTCGGCTTTTGGGACGCCGATATGAGTCCTATCGGGCCTCCAACAGCCGACATGTGTCCTATCGGGCCTCCAGCAACCGACAGGATACCACATCTATAATTCTTTTTATCCAAATGCATCGTTGTTAAATTGCGTCTTCGTCATTGCTCCTTCCGTCGCTGGACAAAATTAAAGTGTGTGGGTGGGGCTGGGACTGGGAGGCTTGACTGACAGCCAACAAGTCGTCGCGGCGTCGCCCTTCTCACTGTTGGCATTAAATTTGCTCTGTTTATTTCTGGACTGGAGTAAACAGTGCAATTTGTTGATCTTGGGGAACTTGCAGTATGACAGGAAAAAAATGCATCGTTGTCCCTGTGGTTGTCGAGCACTCTGGCATGGGAGGCAACACGAGCACTCGACAGTCAGCAGTGTGCGTCGCCCGTTCGACGAAATGTGTCCCCATGGTACGTGCAGCACAACACAACTACGCGACAACTTCCTTCCCGCGAAGGGGACCCTGCTGCATCTAAGCTAGCTTTAATTTGTGGTATGAATCTAGGAGGAATCCCCTTTTTCTCCGCGGTCTGCCACCAACCCAACCGTGCTCGACAACCACAGGGACAACGATGCTCGTACCGGTACGCTTTTCCAGCTGAGTCCTTGTAACTGGCCATGGCCATGGTCGGCAGTTCATAGCTGCACAAGGAAGTGCCACAATTCACAAAGCTGGCAGAGGCGATCCCGGAAGCTCTTGTGCGTAGAGGTAGGAGGAAAAAGAAAGGCCGCTTTTGGAGATACACACGAGCAAAGGCCGCAGATCCCTCTGCTCCAGGTAGCATCCTATTTTATTTTGTTTCTTACTCCAGTCAGGTTCATCCACCTTTCGTCTATGGTACCTACACTTCCAGCATCACAAGGAAAAGGAAGCGCAAGTGCCAGAAGCTAGCAGAAGCTACCAAGTGCTCTCTCGGTCCTCCCCTGTCATGCTCAAGTCTGCACTGTGCAACCCAGATCCCGGAACCTCTGGTGTCCATACATTGCGGAGGAGAAATATATAGGAAGTTTGCAATTGCAGATGGCATGCGTAAAATCTGTAAATCTGAGCTCCAGAAATCTCTGATTCAGGGGGCATACGTTGCATTGGAGGAAAAGAGGGCACAAGCAGGGCCAGCATCTTGAGCTCCAGGCTATCTTACGTAAGTCACGTTATTTTTAGTCAAGAATAGGGTACCATAAATTGTTGCCTTTAGTTGCTCCTGCTATTTTCATCCATTTGTACTCTGTCTTCTATGCTTTCTGCATGCTTTGAACGCCACTCTTTTGGACAATAACCTGGCCTTTCACTTCTCAGGTACTGAACTGAAGGGATTGGCATAAGGGATTGGCGTAGAATCGTTGTCTCTTTACATGATGTGAACCTACAGGGGATAGGGATGCTTTTGTTTGGGCTCTACATTCATCAGGAAATTTTTCCGTCAAATCTATGTATGGTGTGTTGGTTAACAATAGGGTTAGAGTGTTACAGGACATATGGCAAATTAAAATTCCTACAAGAATAAAAATATTTTTGTGGTACCTAAAAAAAGGTGTGACTTTAACTAAAGACAACCTTGCTCAACGAAATTGGAATGGTGATACGAGGTGTAGCTTCTGTCACTCACCCGAAAGTATTCAACACCTTTTTTTGGATTGTTTTTATGCCAAATTCTTGTGGCGTGCTGTACATTTAATGTTTGGGACATCGCCTCCCCAGAGCATAGATGACTTGTTTAACAGGTGGTCCAAGACGGGTGGTAACAAACATAATTCATTGTTGTTGACCGCAGCATCAGCTTTGTGTTGAGCAGTTTGGATAACGAGAAACGAGATGGTTTTTGACAAATGTAGACCAAAATCTTTTTTTTTGCAGGTTCTTTTCAGGGGAACCCACTGGCTCCGCCAATGGGCAAGACTGCAGCGATGTGATGATCAACGGGATCAGCTGATCCTAGCAGGGCATCATCTAGAGACGTCGGTCTTGCATTTTTTTGGTTCCAAAGGGCGGTTGTCAAATAGGTCTATTGGTCTCGTTTAGTCAAAAACTTTACTTTGTTCATTTGTGTGGGTGCCCGTAAGATGGAGTTCTTTATAGCTCGTGTGCTGGCCTACGGGCCGAACCTTGTAATAATTGGCCTGATTCTACCTGTTGATAGATGAAGCGGGAACTATCATTTATCTTAAAAAAAAAGGTACTGAACTGAAGCTGAACATACAGTGAATACTCCTTATTAGTCACACACATCGTAACAGCTACAAAGACGCTTCTGCTGTGGTATGCTATAATCTTTTCATCATTATATAGTGCGTCTACTTCAACGTTTTGTTACCATTCTGATTAATGAACTCTTGTGGTATCATTGATTTAAAGGCAAAAAAAAACAGTACAGTTTACATTTACCATATACCGCATATAGCCCTCACAAATAGGCCAAAGAAGCAGGGCCTATACATAGGCCCCGTTTAGATTTCAAAAAATTTTACGTAGTATCCGTCATATCAAATCTTGCGACATATGCATGGAGTACTAAATGTAGACGAAAAAAAATTAATTGCATAGTTGAGTGAAAAATCGCGAGACGAAACTTTTGAACCTAATTAGTCCATAATTAGACACTAATTGTCAAATACAAACGAAAATGCTACAGTAGCCAAGATCAAAAAAAAATTGGATCTAAACGGGGCCATAGTTAGTGGCTTCGATAATTTGAGGTGACAAGACATCGTGGAGAAATTGATCAACCCAATCTGTTCTTCAATAACTGGAAGCCGTACGTCATTTTGCTCCAATCCGCCCTCTGGGTGTCTTCACTAATCAAGTTGCAAAGCAGGAAAGGAGGGCTACGCCACGCTTGGAGCTCCAGGTACCTAGCTAGCAGATCCCGGAGCTCCAGTATATTTACTTAATTCATGACGAATAATCTAATATCCTGTATGTTTAATTTTGTTTCTTGCTCTGGTGTGCATACTGCATACTCTACATATGTAGCAAAGGAGACAATGAGGGCCTCAATTTTTAGATGGATGAGTAAAAGATGTAGATCTGAGCTCCCTAAAAAGCTATGGTTTGTGTAAGTTGCATCATGTTTGAGCTCTGATTTCCTTTAGTCTACTGCATTTTCCACTGATCAACTTCTTCCTTGGCGTTGGGGGAAAAATCGGTCTGCTCTAAGGCTCTCGTTTTGAAATACCTGCAGGCATTCATTTCTCCTTTTGTGACAAGAACACAAGGGTGGATCCAAGTGTCTTTTCTATAAAATAAAGAAGCAGTGACGACTCAGGCTGAAGGGCTACAGGTACTAGTTTTCTGAGGTCAGATATCCACACCTTCAACCACTTCCTTATGGAGACTTTTCCCTGTGTGCCATTATAAAAGATCGCAATCCCCTGTGTGTCCCTGGAAAAATTCAGCGGTCTTCAGCGCCACTACTCCAACTTTTTCGTGTCCTCCATGCCACTTCCGTCTGTTTAGGCTCTAACGCCGTCAAACTGCAGGTGTGAAAAGACGAAAATGCCTTAAGCTCAAATATGTTATTAATTTTTTTGAGCATCTTAACGACTTCAAATGGAAAACTCAAAACTGACAGTTATAGATCTCGTCGAGATCTATAATTTTCATGTAAAATTTATTTTCATTTAATTCCGCAAAAAAAATAATATGATTTTTCTAAGATATATTAATCATATCAAATCATATTTTTTTGCGGAATTAAATGAAAATAATTTTTATATGAAAATTATAGATCTCGACGAGATCTACAACTTTCTAGTTTTTAGTTTTTTCATTTAAAGTCGTTAAGATGCTAAAAAAAATTAATAACATATTTGAACTTAAGGGCATTTTCGTCTTTTCACACCTGCAGTTTGACGGCGTTAGAGCCCAAACTGACGGAAGTGGCATGTACGACACGAAAAAGTTAGAGTAGTGGCGCTGAAGACCGCTGAATTTTTCCAGGGGCACACAGGGGATTACGATCTTTTATAATGGCACACAGGGAAAAGTCTCTTCCTTATGTTATGCACTTCTGTCAGATCCTTGTTGACTAGCCATACTGGACCTTGTTGCATAGGAGGAAAGGAGGGCAACATTTGGAGATATACAAGCAAAAGGAGTAGATCCGAGGTCCAGAGACCTCTGCTTTGCATACGTTGCATAAGAAGAAAGGAGGGCAGCATTTAAAGATAGCACAAGCAGCAGCATATCTGAGCCCCAGGTATTTTGCGTTACTTTCAACCAATAATACAGCAGCATCCTATTCCTTCTGTTCTTTACTCTTGCTAGGTTCATCCATCTGTGTTCCGTTTTGTACACAATCTGCATGCTTTCACTAGCAATTTCTTGCGCAACAATAACTTGGTCTTTCTCCCAACTATGGAGTATGGACAGGTACTCAAGGACCAACACCAAGTCGTAAGTCATCATAACTGAAAGACGCCGTTTATTCTTCTGTGATTCAAGCTCTGGTATATTTTAATATTTCTATCATTAATTGATCCCCTGCTTTCATACTTTGTTCTCTTTCTCCATTTCGCTGTGTTTCCTGCAAAACAGTTGACATAATGAAATATACCATGGCCGTTGCTCCGTCACAGACTCACATATATGTCGTTTCATTTTGTCTCCGTAGGCAACAAGAAGTCTGTAAGGGTGTGCCTGCAAAGAAGCACTTGAGCAACAAAGAATCTAAAGGTATACACTTGTTTTCGCAGGTCAGATCCACATGATGAACCATTATTGCATGAGTTTTTTGTGATGTCTTTATATATCACTAGTAATACTGACAGCGCGTTGCATGGAGAGCCATGAAAGTACTATAGTTGCAACGTATAAAAAATCTGTTGTAGCACAGTTCATTTTGAAACTTTATGTTTTACAACAAAGATGCTGATTCCAAAATTCTATTCACAGAGGAAGTTTGATTGAAAAAGACATTTACAAAGAAGGATTGGTATGGAAGCTGCTGTAGTATCTGGAATATTGAAGATTGTCAGCAACAAGCTAGCTCCACTGCTGATCAAGGAGTACAGCTTGATAGTTGGTGTCCAGAAGCATCTGCTAGAACTAAAAGATCAAGTTCAGGAGATCAACTGTTGGTTGGAAGCAGTAGGGGATAAAGTTTCACCAAATACTCCAGCATTTAATTGGCTAAGAAAGTTGAAAGATATAGCTTTGATGTTGATGGCATTGTTGATGAGTTCCAGCTGAAGGCTGACGAACATGATGCCCATGGTGTTGCTGGTGTTATGCCAAGATATATGTGCGAAATACCAAAATCTCTCATACTTCAATGCAAGGCAGCCAGCAAGCTCAAGGCAGTCAAAAAGAGATTTGATGCAATTGTGAAGCAAAGAGCTGAATTTAATGCCATAGCAAATAGCTTGCTAGCTGGTCATCCTGCTCATGATATGAGTCAGACTACTGCTAACCAGACAACATTGCCTACTGTAGATGTGGCATCAGTACTCAGAAGAGACCAAGAGAAGCACCAAATAATATCTAAACTAGCAGACGACAAACACGTAATCAAGACTATTTCCATCAGTGGACTTGGTGGCTCTGGGAAAACTACATTAGCTAAATTGGTTTTCAATGATTGCAGCATTGTGGAGAAGCATTTTGAAGTCAGACTATGGGTTCATGTGTCTCAAGAATTTGATGTTGACAAGCTCATCAAGAAACTGTTTGAAGCTTTTGTTGATAATAATCCCGGACAGCATGCCCTGCCGTTTATGATCAAAACAATCTCAGACAAGTTGACTGGAAAGAGGCTTTTGCTTGTATTGGATGACGTGTGGACTGAATCTCTAATTCAGTGGGAAAAGTTTATGGTGCATCTCAAGAGTAGTGGACCTGGGAGCAGGATCTTACTGACTGCTCGTAGTAGAAGAGTTGCAGAAACAGTGCGATCTATAGACCAATTTGATTTGCCATTCTTATCTCTAGATGACAGCTGGCAACTATTCCAGCAAAGCTTAGTAATTCCTGCAGAAGGTTTGGATTCGGAATTTGTAAAGGTTGGAAAAGAGATTGTGAAAAAATGCGGTGGGGTGCCTCTAGCAATTAAAGCTCTTGCAGGTGTCCTCCATGGCATGGAACAAATACAAGAATGGAAGTCCATGAGGGATAGCAATGTATTAGATGTTGAGGGTAAAGAGTGTATAGTATCTGCATGCTTGATGTTGAGCTATTTGAACTTGCCTTCTCATCTGAAACAGTGCTTCGCAATTTGTTCACTGTTTCCTAAAGGTCACAATATTGATAAAGAACAGTTGATTGACCTATGGATTGCTCACAGTATGATCACTGGTGTAGATGGTGTTGATTATATGGAGTATGGATAGGGATGAAAACGGTACGGATATTTTCCGACCGTATTCGAGTCCGAATCCGTTTAGAGGGGTTCAGATCTGTCCGTATCCGAGTCCGGATATTCAACATCCGATACCGTATCCGTATCCGAATACTCAAATCACATATTTATGATGTCGACATCTAATCGTATCCTATCCGGCATGGCTGATACTATCCGCATTCGAATCTGAATCCGACTAGAAATGTGAAAACAAATATAATATCAGTAATATCCGTTCGTATCCGATCCGTTTTCATTCCTAAATATGGACATAGGAGCTTTAATTCTCTTGTACAAATGTCCTTTCTACAGGATGTGGAAGAAAATCATTGTTATTGGAGAGTGACATGCAAGATGCATGATTTGATTCATGATCTTGCCCGGTCCATACTAAAAGATGAAATTTCACTTGCTGTACCAAACAAGGCAACCAGTGCCACAATGAACTACAGATACTTTTCTTTAACGGAACAACCAGGAAACTTTCCATCCAAAAAAACTTTCAAAAAAGCACGTGCTATTTTTGTTTGTCCTCCTTATCAGAAGGGTGATGATACAATATTTGGCAACACATTGAAGGACGCAAGACCCTTGCGTAGTATCACCATGGAAAATGTGTTTCTGGTAGCAGTGCCCAATGCCATATTCCAGGTAAAAAATTTGAAATATCTTGCGATTTCAGGACTAAGATGTCAAGCACTCCCGGAAGCCATTTCAGATTTTTGGACCCTACAAGCTCTACATGTCACCTGTAGTGATCTCCTTGATTTGCCTAAAACGTTTGGTAAGCTAACGAAGTTAAGAACACTGAACCTATCGATGTGTCGAAAGCTAAAGTGTTTACCAGATTCTATGGTGATTGTCGGATGATTTCAAGCATTGATCTTTGCATGTGCTGGGAGATTGAAGCCTTGCCAAACTCTATTGGTAACCTACAACAGTTAAAAACGTTGAATCTATCGTCCTGTGGAAATCTAAAAATTTTACCAGATTCAATTGCTGATTATCATATGATTTCAAGCATTAATCTTTCGTTTTGTATGATGCTGAGAATGTTGCCAAACTATATTGGCAGGAATGAAAAGCTAAGAGTTTTGAGACTAGCTGACACCAGAATTGAGAGGCTACCATCAAGTATCACAACGCTGAGAAATCTAGAGTGTTTGGACCTACACAGGTGTCAGGAGCTAGTAGATTTGCCTGAAGGCATCGGCAACATGGAAAAGCTCCAAGTTTTGAACCTAGAAGATTGTAAAAAATTGGCAGGAATGCCTATAGGCATTGGACAGCTCAGTCGACTACAAAAGTTGGGCTTATTTGTTGTGGGTAAGGGAGAAAAGTTTGCAGGAATCTCAAAAAAAAAGGACAGACCCAGTGCCGGAGGCTCCCACATGAGTGGGGTCTGGGGAAGGGAAAAACCGAGGCAAGCCTTCCCCCCGCAAATCTGCGGAGAGGCTGCTTCGAACCCACGACCTGGTGACTCAGTGAGACAGCTCTCACCACTGCACCAGGCCTGCCCTTCTTTGCAGGAATCTCAGAGCTTGCAAATGTTTCTGAGATCGGTGAGAAACTAACAATTAGAGGTATTGGACACGTGATAGAGCCAAATGCTGCCCACATGGCATGCTTGAAACAGAAGACAAACTTACAGAGGTTGGATCTACAGTGGATGGCAGATGATGCGGAAGAGGTAAACACTGAGTTGGAGCAGGCTGTCCTTGATGGTCTGGAACCGCCACCTGGGATTAAAGGGATGAAAATTAGTGGGTATTCAGGCAGGCAATATACACGGTGGATGCAGAATCAAGTTGGTGGTGGAGTACAGGGGCCTGCTCCCTTCCCATTTTTGAGGGTGATGAAGCTATATTGGTTTCCCAAACTTGAAGAACCTACATGGGCTTGTGGAGCTGCCTTGTTTGGAGTTGCTTGAGCTTAAATGGATGCCTTCTCTTGAGAGCATAAGTGGAGGCCCATTTCCTTCGCTGGTAAAGTTAAGGATGCGTGGACTGCGTTATCTGGGAGAGGTGTGGATGGTAGCAGAGAGGATTATGCCTGATGGAGAAGAGGTGGAAGGATACTGCAATTTCACCCCTCAGTTGGGACAAGTCCAAGTTGGTAATTGCCTGACAGAGTTAGAGATTTGTGATTGTCCTAAGTTGGAGGTGAAGCCGCACCTTCCTCCGTCTCTGCAGCACTTGAAGTTGTGGGACAGTGAGCAGCTACTGCAGTCACCAAGCCAATGCCAGGGGTCCTCTTGGTCCCCCAGTTTTAGCCACCTGGAGGAGCTTCAACTATTGAATGTGACAGGATTAGGATCTGGGCATGGGTGGGAGCTGCTGCAACACATGACGGCACTCGAGTCATTGGAGTTTATTATCTTCTCTGGAGTGCAAACCGAGCTGCCTGAGAGCTTGTGGAGCCTCACATCCCTCCGGTCCCTGTTGCTGGTATAATATCAGCGTGCTACCCGAGTGGCTATGGGAACTGGGGTCTCTGCAAGAGTTGACCATCGAATCCTGTGATAGCCTGAGCAGCCTCCCCCAATCATTGGGTCAACTCACATCCCTCCAGTTGCTAAAGATAGCATGGTGCAATGCACTTCGCCAAATGCCCGACTGCCTAGGTGAACTCTGCTCTCTACGCAAACTCGAGATTACAGAGTTGCCAGAGCTGACTTGCCTTCCACAATCCATCTGCCGCCTCACCACCTCTCTTCAACAGCTCGGAATCGTTGAATGCACGGGCATCACATCCTTGCCGCAGGGGATGGAAGGCCTCGCCTCCCTTGAAAAGGTCTCAATCAGGAACTGTACGGGCCTCACATCGTTGCCGCAGGGGATGAAAGGCCTCGTCTCCCTTGGAAAGCTAAGCGTCTGTAACTGCCCAGGAATACGATCCTTGCCTAAGGGCATAAAAGGCCTCACCGCTCTGAAGGAATTGCTGATCCTTGGGTGCCCTGATCTGCAGAGGCGGTGCAAGAGAGGAAAGGGGGAGGACTGGCACCTCATCTCCCACACCCCTCATCTGGATATTTGAGATCCAGATTGGCTTTAATGCACTGCATGAAGTGATGGCTTTATTGCACTGCATGAAGCGATCTGTTACTGTCCAGATCTAGAGATCCGCTGTGATAGGAACGTGGGAGGTCTTTTATCTAAAATTGAGAGGAATGGGGGAGGACAGGCACCTCATCTCCCAAATCCCTCATCTACACACTGGGCACTAACCTAACCAGGGGCCTCCCTATTAGCGCTTCATCTGGTAAGTTTGCTAACCTCTAACCATGATTCATCTTGTGCAGATCCTCTACTGAACTATTTCCTGATTTATCTAAATAAATTTATTGCTAGTGTAAGTGTAGTGGTGTTCCATGTACATGCACAGTTTTGCCTGCTGCATGTATGAGTTGGGTAATTTGAACTCTGGTTTCAGGTAGATCAGATCCATCGTCCATTTGTGTTGATTCATGGTTTTCTAGAGCTAAGGAGGGGTTCTTGTTTGTATTGCATGTTCCTCTTTCATTTATTTAATCATTTGGGTGTGGAGGACACGGTTCCATTTGTGCTTTTGTGCCTCACAAGCTACAGTGAATACTATTATATGATTCAGTTGTGTGCTGTTCTTTAAGCCCGTGTGATTTGATTAATTTTTCAGTTGTACACCCTCCCCAAGTTGACATAGATGTGTGCTGTGATGCCACTAAAGGGAAAAGGAATACTGAGCAATCGTCTTGTTTAGCAAAATACTAATATTATGTAGTTCAATATGCAAGCACCACAAGGAGTTAAAAATTTGTTTAGTTTAGTAATTTCACTGCTGCTGATGGAGATGTAAAAACACACACACAGAAACTTTTGAACTGCTCCATTTCTTGAATATTTTGAATGTGGGGTGTATTTTTGACTTCTGAGTACTTGCCTATCATTGCAGGTCCACTGCACTTGGCACAGTTGGCAGTCCTTGATTCGCCTGTCAGTCAAGATGAACGACCTGCATGGGTGAAAACGTGGATGAAACACCTTCAGGCAAATTTGTTTCAGTCCTTCAGCTCTACTAAGTTCTAATCCATACCTGTGGAGGACGACTTCAGAAGTTGATGTATCAAGTAAGCAACCTAAAACCAAAAGGCAATGGAGGAATCCTCGACCTCTGCTTTCCCATGAAGAAGTGCGTTATCTACTTACTGCTCACGACTTCCATCCTGCCTGTACTCCAGCGAGCTGCCCCGAATTTCCTTTGCTACCTGATGCCATGAAGTAAATTGGTGAGCTGAGCGTTTGGTTGTATGCATGACTCTGCTTTGTCAGACGGACCCAGCGTTTTCCTTAGAACATGCAGCGTTTGTTTGATCTCCATTACATATGGAAATTTCAGATTTCACTATTTCAAAAGAGCAAACATTTTGTTCTACTGTACAGTTAACATGATTGGTCTGCTACTCTGCTTGCCGTCAGTCACTGCTCTTGACACACAGAAGCACGGGTAGCAGCCAGTTGAGGTGTATCAATTGCTGACTGATGCACGATGCGTTTTTCTTCCCTGGCAGTGCGTTTGTCCGAGGATATGTGTCCGATTACTCGTCAGTCTCGTGAAGTCGCCGCCGACTAGGGAGGCTCACTCTGATTCGCACCGCTTCTCTTCCCGTCTCCGTGTCGGCCCCGCCAATCAAGCGAGGCCGTGTCCTCGCCTCACTGCAGAGAGAGCGGGGGCATGGTGCCGACCGGCCGGCCTAGGATGGTGGAGCAGCGGGCAAGGGAGGCGCGGGAGCCTTGTCGGGTACGAGTACGACGGCCAGCACCCAGTGACGACGGCGGAGCGTCCTGCTATGCTGGGCTGCCGGCCCTCGCTGCAACGCTCAAACAGTAGGCGGTGCACGCCACTCGTTCGACAATGCGCCACAGGTGGAGACTGGAGACTGGGGAGTTGGAGCGGGGGCAGGGCAGGTCGTCATCCAAACAGCAGCAGGTTCGCCGGTCACCATGCTACACGCCACTACTCCAAGGCATGTCGGCATCTTCCCAGAGATATTTCCTTCGCTGCTCTTTGGTATGTGTTCTCAGCTCAGAATACCTCTCTTGCTCTCTCCACACACTTGACAAAGACGCTTCAACTTATCGGCCGGCTTATCAGTTAGAATATACAATATTTTTCTTTCACAGTAAAACAGCTTTAGCCGGCTTTAATACCAGCCGAACAGACCCCTTTGATTCAGTCAATCACTCTTGTCTCGAAGAACAGTTCACACTGCAGCGCGTGAACATTTGCAATGACAACACGTTACTGTGGAAGAATTGCAGGACCCCGTAAGCCTTCATTAGAAATCCTGATACTTAGGCCCTTAATTCAGTCAGAACCACAGACGTGTAATAACAAGCATAAACACAGGAAACATGTGTTTCCTAACAGCGAGCACACATAGGACATGAGGCATGCGTATCTGGATATATGATAGGTTTAGATCACAGAGTTTACAAAATGTTCAAATCACTGTCTTTACCCCCATTCTTGACAAACTGGCAAGGTTTGAAAGCGTGATGTTGTGTTAGATATTGAAATTGATTCTAACTGGTGGGACCGAATTCGAATTTCTCCATTCAGTGGTGCTGGTGGACTAAATTATGACTATGGTGATCACATCATCCTCATCTCCTATCACGGGTCATGGTCGGCAGTTGATTACTTCACAAGGAAGCACCACAATTCACAAGTAAGCTCTGGTGTGCGTACATAGCAGATTAGCAGAGGGGAAAAGGAATAATGAGCAGTCGTCATGTTTCGCAAAATAATAAATATTATGTAGTTCAATATGCAAGCACCACAAAAGGTTAAAAATTGGTTTGCTTTACTAATTCCACTGCTGCTGATGGAGATGTAAAAAAAACACAGAGGAATTTTTGAACTGGTACATTTCTTGAACAATTTTCGACTTTTTGAGTACTACTTGCTTATTATTGCAGGTCCACTGCACTTTGTGTTGGTCCCTTGCTGACCTGCATAGGTAAGCAATTAGCTTACCCACACACTCACTCACTTGGCTAGAGATAGAAGAAGGGGTTGAGCTCAGAAATACACAGTACAAACACCAGCCCTGGCTGAAGCTTCGCTTCTGAATGTGGCAAAACTGAACTACTCTGCTCCATTGCCTTGGCATAGAATATATAAGCTACTACTACCTCCTAAGGTACACTAGTACACCTACTACAATGTCCTCTAGGACATGGCTGAAATCAGCTTTAACAACTATGGTATGGCTGAGCTAAGCCATTATTTCCTAAGCCTTGACCTCATCCATGCCAATCATCTTCCTCAGCTCCATGAACCGCAGACGCCCGAGTGACTTGGTGAGGATGTCAGCGAGCTGTCTGCCGGTCTCGACGAACTCGATGACGATCGGCCCTCCATCTACGCAGTCCCGGAGGAAGTGGAACTTGATGTCAATGTGCTTGCTCCGGTCGTGGAGGATAGGGTTCTTGGTGAGGGCGATGGCGGGCGGATTGTCCACCATCAGAGTTGGCAGGTGAGCTTCCTCGCCGGTCAGCTCACCTAGCAGCTAGTGTAGCCAGACCGCCTGGCACGCTGCCGTGGCCGCTGCAACATACTCCGCCTCACATGTCAACAACGCCACGATCTTTTGCTTCAGCGACTGCCAAGTAATGGGGGCCGCTCCAAGGAAGGCGAGCACACCAGAGGTGCTCCATCGTCCGTCGATGTCGCTCGCCATATCTGCATCGCTGAAAACCATGAGCTCTAGCTCACCTTCCTCTGTTTTGGGGATGCCTCACTAAAAACCGTGAGGCACAGCCCACTCTTGCCGCCGTGCTTGGGGAAGATGATCGCTTGATCGAGCGTCCCCTTGACATAGCGCAGCAACCTCTTCACCGTCGTCCAGTGATCCTCGCGTGGGTCCTCCATGAATCGGCTGACGTACCCGACTGCGAACGCGATATCCGGCCGAGTGTGCATGAGGTAGCGCAGGCCACCGCCGGTGCTCTGGTAGCGCGTCGCGTCCACCTTCGCCGTCTGTTGTGCTTGGACAGCTTCAGTCACTCTTCCATCGGAGTCGTGCACGGCTTGCACTCTGCCATGCCATCGCGCTCCAGTAGCTTCTCCACGTAGGCATGCTGGCCCAGGGAGATGCTCTGCTTCCCCTGTCTCACCTCGATGCTGAGGTAGTAGGAGTGCGCATCGGGATCGCTCATTCGAAAATGAGCTGCCATCTTGCGCTTGAAGCTGTCGATGTCTGCCGCGCACGCTCCAGTGACGATCAAGTCATCCACGTGCATGCCGACGACGAGCTCCTCCTTCCCCAGTCGCCGCGTGTAGAGCGCGTGCTCCGTGGCGCAGCAGGTGAACCTGAGCTCACCCAAAGTGGCATCGAGCTTGGCGTTCCACGCCCGTAGGACCTGTTGAAGCCCATAGAGCGCCTTACGCAACCTGAGCACTTTGTGCTCTGCCCCCTTGATGGCAAAGCCCGGAGCTTGCTTGATGAAGATCGTCTCCACGAGCTCGCCATACAGGAACGCCGACTTGACGTCGAGGTGGTGGACGCGCCAGTCCTTTGCCACTGCCATGGCCAGCAGCAGGCGGATCGACTCCATGCGCGCCACCGGAGCAAAGACCTCAAAGTGGCCCTCGTGCTAGACGAAGCCGCGGGTGACGAGCCGAGCCTTGTACTTGATGATGGCGTCGTGCTCGTCCCGCTTCACCTTGTAGATCCATTTGAGCCCAATCGGCCGGCAGCCCACCGGCGGATCTACCAGCTCCCAAGTCCCGTTGTCCTTGATCGTTTTCATCTCCAACATCGCCCGCCGCCAATTGGCATCGCGCTCAGCCACCGCAAACGTGGGCGGCTCCTACGCACTGACGAGCAGCAGCTCTGGGTCATTGAGGATTCGACTGGCCCGCCCAGGAGCTGCCCCATCGCCAACGATCTTGTCCACCCGGCGGAAACGGACCTCCTCGCCATCGTGGAAGGCGTCCATGTACTCATCGATGTTGATTGGCGGAGAAGTGAACTCGAGCGGTGGCGTCCCCTG